AGGAGGAGGACAAGGAGGATAGAGGTGGGGAGATCGAGCGAAGGGAACAACCAAGGCAGGAGGGACCGCCGAGCTTGGGCTTGGACGAGGCATCTTCTGGTACTGTGGAAGCATTGCAGCAGCCGTCGCCCCCGACGTCGCAGCAGAAGCAGCAGCAGGAGGAGGAGGAGGAGAGAGGTGGAGAGGTCGATGCAGCAGTGGACGAATGTGAACAATACATTGTTGCCTCAGAGTCTCCGTCCCAATCTAGTGGGCCTGGATCTCCTGCTGCCTCGGCTGCTGACATTCTTGCTATCGGCCCTCCTTCTAGTGCTGCTATTGCTGTTTCTCCGGTAGCGGGTCATCTCCAACAGCTTGCAGAGAGAGTTCCCTTCTCCATGACGGTGGCACGTGAGACGAACCCCGATGATAGCATGTGTTTGCAAGCATATCCTGCTTCTTCTGGAGCTGGAGTGGGGGGAAGCATGCCTCTCGCTCACGGAATGGCTGTGCCGATTGACATTGGTGAGAGGCTGATGGAGGCTGTTGAGCCGGAAGACGATGGACGAGGATTTCCGAGTGCGGTTGTTGGTGTAGAGGAGGCATCTTCCGCACTGCTGCAAGATGACAGAGCAGTAGAGCTGATGGGGATCCAGGCGGGGGTGGCAAAGTCTGCGGGTGGTTCCCCACGGCGGGATCCTGGCATGTCATTTCTAGAGTGCAACTCTGCACAGGATCCTGTCTGGGGGAGTGAATGGACAACCACAACTTCTCCTTTGGTTGCGTCCCGAGATGGGATCTCCCCCTCAGTCTCCTCGGATCCGTTTGTCGCACAACCTGTTGTGCGACAACCTGCAGCTGCCGAAGGCTTTTCTTCCGAGGAGGATGAGGGGGCGGCAGCGTTGCTTTCCGCTTCGGAATCTGCGCTGGGAGAGGCGGTAATTCCGCCTCGTTCCGGTCGATGGCGCGACAGTGGCGGGCAATCGTCGGTGGGGGATGCGCAAGCAGTCGCCTTTGCCCCACACGTGGCAGAGGATCAGACCATTGCAGATAATCCTGACGACGACGTGGACTTAACGGTTACCTCCACGGTGGCAGAAGCGCTGCCCGGGGTCGAGACAGAGCTATTGGCCCAGGGGACGGATGAGGAACAGCTTGTGCGTGTTCCTGGAAGGTTTGAGAGGGAGGTGTCTACCAGCACTGGAGGTAGTTTTCCCTTGCTCGCGCAGATGTCCGTGGAGTCCGTGGTGGGTGGATCGGGTGGAGTGGTGGTCAGATCTAGCTCGTTCGATGGGAGCTTGCAGTCCGTTGCCGGTGAAGAACACGTGTCGACAGGTCAACCCCTTCATGGGGAGATGCGGGCAGGCGAGCCAACCCTGGAGACGCTGAAAGATCGTCGAGGGAGGGGGGACCATCACGAGCTCCTCCAGGTGGGAGGAGAGACTCTAGCGGAACCCGCATTTGTTGAGGTGCGGGGCCTGCGGAGTCCCGAGGCCAAGGCCCAAGCTTCTCGAACGGAGGAAGGCACGGAAGCATTCTTATTGAGTGCCCCTTCGAGTCCCGATGGGGGGAGGAGAGTGCTGGGAGCAACTGTTGATCGCCTGTTGGCCACCCCGTCGGTGGAGGGGTCCAGTACAAGATCTGTGGACTTGGCAGCTTTCGCTCGTCCCGAAGATCGTGGACTAGCCTCGGGGGACACCGGGTCTGCTCTTCGTCCCAACCCCGGCGATGCATCCTCAGATCGGGGTCGGGATCCAATCCAGCATTTGCACCCATTCCTGAAGCAGCAGTTACATCTTGTGACATCTGGATTGGGCGTGGAGGTGGGCTATGCTCCCGAGACATTCGCTGAGCCAGAGTCTCCCGATCCCGAGTCTCTCACCGTAGAAGAGCTGCTGGCAGGCGCGGATGCGGGGGAGAAAAGGTTCCCCGTGTCATGGGAGAAGCAGCAGGGTCATGTTGAAACAACTCTTAGCTTAGCTGAATCGTCAATGGTGAGCGTAGATCCGTTGGGTCAGGCAGAACCAATCAGCGGAGGACATTTGGTCAGCAGTGTGGCTGCAGTCTATGCCCCGGAGTTTTCTGTGGAAGGCCGACTGGAGGAGGAGAAAGAGGAGGCGGAGGAGGACGGTGAGGAGGAGGAGGAGGAGGGGGGGGATCACGGGGAAGGGAGGCGGTCTAAGACCAAGCCACCGGTTTTTGTGGTGACCCCTTCCTTCGAACCGCCTCTAGGGGCGCTCACTGGAGTGGAGTGCCGGTTGGAGTTGGGAGAACTGGACTCTGTCATCTGGTCCCTGCCGGAATCGATGGAGGATGGCATTTGGCACAGGAGTCGGCTGATTGAGTCCATGACAGAAGCGGAGCTATCGTCGACCACAGGACTTGATGCTGCAGCCGTCTTGTCCTTGCAGAAACTCTTCGGTTCTTCAACAGAGGCTGAGGTTGACAGACTTGGCATAGCTGCAGGGTACACGGACGAATCTCTGCCTCCCGATCCGGCTGAGGAATTCCTACCACGCATTGAGATGTTGGAGAGAGCAGCGGAGCCACCTCTCGAGCAAGGACAGGTTGAGGGAAGCCGCTGCCCATCTGAATGGATTCGTTCTCTCCAGATATCGTCGTCAGAGCCCGCGCAAGCATTGCTCGTGCCGCCTCAATATGCATCGCCTTTCAGCGAGGTGTGCCCTATAATCGAGTCGTACTCCTTGAGAGGACAGGTACGTGAGTGGAGCCAGCCACCTTTCTCGACTTTGCTTCTGAGTAGACCCTGCATGTCGCTCGAGTGTGGCTGCTTCTTCGAAGTTCACCCTGCATGTCGCTCGAGCATGGCTGCTTGTTAGAACCTTCTTGTCTGCCTGCTTGCCGGACTCCATGGTTGCCTGTTTGCCTGGCTGCTTGCCTGCACGCTCCTGCCTGCTTGCTTGCCTGCTTGCTTGCCTGGCTGTTTTCCTTGTCGCCTGCCTTCCTGCTTGCCTTCCTACTTGCCCGCCTGCTTTCCTGGCTGCTTTTCTGCCTGCTTGCCTACCTGGTTTCCTGGGTGCTTGCTGCCCGTCTGCTTGCCTGCCTTCTTGCTTGCCTTCCTGTTTGCCTGCCTGCTTGCTTGCCTGACTGCTTGCCTGACTGCCTGACTGCCTGCTTGCCTGCTTGCCTGCTTGCCTGCTTGCCTGCTTGCCTGCTTGCCTGCTTGCCTGCTTACCTGCTTGCCTGCTTTCCTGCTTGCCTGCTTGCCTGCTTGCCTGCTTGCCTGCTTGCCTGCCTACTTGCTTGTCTGTTTGCTTGCCTGCTTTCGATTGCTGGCTTGGGCCTCTTCTGCTTGGGAGAGTTTGCTTGTTCCTTTGTCGATTCTTTTTCTTTTATCTTTTTGCGTTCCTCCTAATTGCCCCCTGCTCAGTTGATGTGGTCCATATGTGGGGAAATAGTACCGAGATACATACAGCAAGAACAACTGCGCTCAATCCTGTGAGGAAGGGAGTCAATCATTTTGTTTATCTTCACTCCAATCCCCTTAACCGTCGCCATACAATCCCTTCCCCCCCCCTCTTGTTGTGTTACAAGCTATAGTACTCCAGCACACTTCTCCGTGCCCACAGAACATGGGCACCCTCAGAGTTTGTAATATACCCTCCATCCCAGTCCCATCCTGCTCGGGAGGTTCATTCAAACTAATAATCCTGTCGACACCGTGGTTTGGGTACAGGGGGCGAAAGACCTCTAAGGGTGTACTCTCACTACCGGTAGGACTCTGGATGCCACTACGCAAAGATACTTAGGGGATCCCCAACGTGAGTATGCCCTAATGCAAAGGAACAGCAGGCAGTTTGAAAATCATAGCACTGAACATGGTTGGGAGAAAACTGCGATGACGGTCTTACACACAGTGACTACTATTTTAGTATTTTCCCATGAATACAGTGCACGGTCATCATAGCTGTATCTAGACAGAAAGTTGACCCAAATGCAGCTATAATGACGGTGTGTATAGTACGGGAGAACAAAGGAGTTGGGGGAAACAACGAAATTTTATGGTTCATACATTCTATTCAAACAATCAAAATGGAAATGTCATTACGACATGATCTAAACGAGACATTTGCCATGGGAGATTAGTGCTATAATGCTATTGTTATTATTATTTCGTTATAATAACAACATGCATCTGTTTTTTTTTTCTTTTTATTTTTTGGAACAAAGTGATTCTTAATAGAGACTGGGAAACCGTTAGGACTGTTCCCTCCTCTGCCCCCCCCGGGCGCCCCCCCCTCTCCTCCTGCTAAGGGGTCGACGCTCTCAAACCCCAGCTTATTCCAAGACGACCAAATGGCTGTACTATTATTGTACTGAAAGTAAAAATAAAACATGGTAGCTTGTAGGGGAAGCAGACCTGCCAAGGCCAAGCCCGAGAGGGAAGGGAAGCAGACGGAGGCAGAAAGGGTGTCTATGTTTTTACACAAGTCTAGATCTTCTTGGGTATACTCTTCAACTGAATCAAATATGAGGTCATTATAAATTTCAGGTCACGTACAGGTATGAGCGGCATGACTCTGCGTTCCACTGGGTGCGACCGTATGCCTGCAGGCTACTACCGTCTTCACCCGAATAGAATGCCTGGTCATTATAGCCATATCTGGACTAGAAAATTGCACCAAATACCGCTATAATGACCGGGCGTTCTATTCGGGTGAAGACAGTAGTCACTGTCATTTACATATTCGCTGGTATAGGCTTATCTACCCCTAGAACTGTAGGCTAACGAGTTCCAGTGAAGCTCTCTCTCTCTGCTAATTGCTAATCTAGGAATCTGTAAGAGGATCACTGATGTTTATTCTACCAGTAGACCTCGGTTACCAGCCTTATATCATCCTTACTAGGATGAGCAGAGTAGACTAAGGGATGGCCTGCACATGGGCAGAGTACTCTGATGTGCATGGGAGACTATTGCCGGTAATCCCTGATAGTTTACTCTGATTGGGCAGAGCAGACTGAGTGGATGACCTGCACATTAGTATGGTTAAGAACCTGGAATTGCCAGTCAGCACTGCCACATCCTGGCTGCTGATCTGATGATTCTGATCTGCTATAGGAGCCTATTATAGGAGCCTGTTACTGCTGAACCCTGACAGGTTACTTTGATTGGGCATAGAAGAGTGAGAGAGGATGACCTGCACATAGTAACCTGTGGTTAAGAACCTGCGATCAGCAGTCAGCACGGCCACATCCTGACCACTGACCTGATCTGCTGTACGGCACCGTGAACGCTGATCCCTCAGAGTTTACTCTGATTGGGCAGAGCAGACAGAGGGGATGGCCTGCACATAGTAACGTATGGTTTAGAACCTGTGATCGGCAGTTAGCGCTGCCACGTCCTGGCCACTGATCTGATCTGCTATAGGCGCATATGGCAACTGATCTGCAAAGACTCCCGTCAACATCAAGTAATTTGGTCCTGCAATGATCCCCCGGGTGTTGTGGTGCAGGCACTGGTGAAGTCACGGTGTCCGAAATGTACGCAATCATAGATGTTCTCGTCTCTTAGTCTGGTCGGGTCTCAGGAAGTGCTACCTTTTCTACCTCCCAGTTTAGATTATCTTTTGATTAATGCCTTGAGGATATTCTATGTGGCTATAGTCCTACCTACTTGCATCCCTCTGCTTTTGTTCGGAGTCTTCAGACTGATTGAGCCCTCTAGTGTATATCTTAGTTCTTGGTTTCCTGTCCTTAGGCTACGTGTGACATGCCAATGATGCACCGACTCTTGACTAACCTCCTCTTGCCACCTGCTTTAGTCGAGGAATATAGTAACTATATAAGTCTATCGTCTGTTTGCTATTGCTTGCAAAGATCGTTGCTATTTACTGTTTACGGCGTCTAGAGCATTCATGTTACCACACCATTTTAATTACCATTCAACTCAAAGTACCGTGATAATCTGAGCTACCATTTTCCCTCCTGCTTTGGTCAAGGAATATAGTAACTATTCCTTGCATGTGAAGTCCGTCGTCTGCTGCTATTGCTTGCAAAGATCGTTGCTATTTACTGTTTATGCAACTTTACAGTATCTAGAGCATTCATCTTACCAACTTACCACACCATTTTTAATTACCATTCAATTCAAAGTACCATGATAATCCGAACTACCATTTTGCCTCCATAGATGGATCATCACTGTTCCCCCTACCTTCTTGCTGTGTGTGGAGCTACTTTCAGATCTGAGCTACTTTCAGATCTGCAGCTTTTTAGTGTAAAGAACCTTGAAGTTGAAGGTTGGCATGCCCTGCGGCGGCGACCAGTATTAGTCCCCACGCAGACCATTCAGATTACCATTTTAAGTGCTGTCAGATTTGATTTATAGCGTATCGGCTTACCGTTGCGATCAGCATTCAAGTTAGGACTATAAGACAATCACCATCGCCCCTGTGCATTTGCTCTCAGATCTGCATTTTAGCTGGATAAGTTATTATTATTATTATTATTATTATTATTATTATTATTATTATTATTATTATTATTATTATTATTATTCCCATTGGTCTCCTTGATATGATACCCCCTTCCTTCTACCTTATGTCCTATCTACACTGACACACTTGAAATGCGTTGTCTTTGTCATCATGGTACGAGTGCAGGTACTGCTATGTTCGTTGGGTGGACGTGCTGGGCATGTCTGGCTCAACTGCACATGCGTGCGGAGCCCTGTACTCGGCAAAACGTCGTGTTAGGTCCAGGTGGGCAGTCATGTCAGTCCTTTCCTTCCCTACCACACTTTCTGCAGTGACGGCCTCTGAGTAGTGAAGAAGGAAAGACGGACTGAAACTGTATGAGAGGATGAGAGCATAGGAAGTGAGGCCTCTGCGCTGGCACCATGATGGCCGTTAATACTAGATACTGGGCAAGTTCTCTCTTCGTCCATCCAAAAATATGTACATGCGACAGTTTCTCTCTCTTTCTCTCTCTTTGTTTTTTTTTGGGGGGGGAGCGCGAGGAGGAGGGCGGGGGCCCTGTTTCTTTTTGTTGGGTCTGTGAATGAGTGGTTTGTTGAATGTATATTCTGCCAAACAGTATGGATTCACGCAATGTCAGGAGAGTTGAACTGAATCACGTTTCTTTGCATTTCAACGTGACACCTCAGGAATTAAAAGCAAAGTGACCATTCGTACGCGCTAAATCAGGGTCTTCGTGGATGTGGAAACGTTCGTGCTACGAGGAGTTTTGAATCAGATGTATCTGTACCAGCAGCATCTAACCCTGATCATCAAACACTGGTCGTGTAACCTTGGTACCTGTTATATACTGGTGTTAAGCTCACTTGTGACCTGTAATCCAGCCAGTAGGGTCTGTGCTCGTGTGAGATATGCGAACGCTTTACCCCTAGTTGCTCTGGAACATACTATGCATGCAGAACTTCCAATTCCGATCCCTGGTTGCGAGTTAATGTAAAGGGGAACTTCTGCCAAAACAGTCCCACATTCGCAAAAGTCCCGAAAGACCCAAAAGGTGAAAGGCCCACAATTTGCTTCCCCTCCCCACCCCTCTCCCTCTTCCTCGTCCTCCTCTTCCTCCTCTTCCTCCTCTTCCTCCTCTTTTTCCTACTCCTCTTCGCCCTCTCGGATCTTCCTCCTCTTTTTCCTACTCCTCTTCGCCCTCTCGGATATGGTTGGATCTTAAACGGTTCAAACCTACTATGATTCTGAACAAATGTATGAGGTCTGTTGCTGTATTTACCAAGTCCTCTTTTTGCATCCGGTAGCTGATATGCGGATGTATGTTGAAAACTCTGGCATGATTTCTGCTTGAGCTCTGTGCGTGTGCAAGAAAATATGCTCGCAACGACTCTCCAGTAGTACTCACCGGCCTCCATGCCGAAGGTCATTTTTCCGGGATCAACTCTGTGGATCGTTCTCAATGCTGATCGAGCTAGAGACAACCCAAGCAACCGGATAAATGTCCTGGAGAAAGTATGAGATGGAACATCATGCTCTGAGTGATTACATCCCAAGGCTGAGGGTTGCCACTGTGGTTGGCCGAGGGTGACCTGTTTGCTTGCTCCAGTTCTGATTATGACACTCGAAGAATCATAACTGAGGGAAAAAGAAAGAAAAGGAAAAGGAGACATGCAAAACAAGCAGAGAAACAAGAACAGCAGTGATCAGGGCGTCATGAACCTCCAACCACCACCTCGGTAAGGAGGGACAGACTGCCAGGTATCCCCTTGCATTGGCGGGAAGAAGGGGACTCAACTCAGAGAGAAGCCGTCACAAAAAGATATCTGGGGATTCTAGGGCCCTTACCCGAACAACATGCATGGACTTGACCATTCATAAATAACCCGCCGCTCCTAGCCGAAGCAGAACATCCAAAAATATGTGCAGAGGGCTCCATAGTCTCCAAAATTAGTGCATGGATGATGGCCTTGTGGATTGCCAAGGAGTGAACAAAAGGTAAACACGAAAGGAGGGATATCAGCGAGTTTATAGGAATATAACCGAAATAAGTTCAAATAACTTTAATAAAGGAGTTGGGGGATAGAAAATTGTGGAAATTATAAAGTGAACTACAGAAACAGAGAGCTTCAAGGAAAGGTGTGGGGGAAGAATAATAATAAACAGAAAAAAGGTCAAGAGAATCGAAGAGATGGCTTGGAAACACTCTGCTGGAGGAACAACAAGCTGGAGAATGAGTGATGATGGGAAGCTGAGTCAGTGTGGAGACGTTTGCGAAAGTCAGAAGTAGTAAGCACAATCCCACATCGATTGAGACTTTTTGAACAGTCCGATCCAACCAGAGCTTTCTTGGAATAATGTGTGCATTGAACTGCATTCTGAGCAGGGTGGAAATGATTCTGTCTGTAATGCACCAAGTGGTCCATTTTGTTTTGCGTCTGTGTACGGGGTAGCCTGACGGGTGGAAATGATTCTGTCTGTAATGCACCAGGTTTTGGATCACGAGGCTGCTTCTATAACACGCGGTGGAATGGGACGGGTGTGGAAGGAGGATGAGGCCCTGCCAAAGCAGCAACGGCAACGGGAACTTCAAGAAGGAGGCTTCTTTGAGCCAAGGTGGGAGATTCTAGAGCCGTCACCGGTGGATGGCGCATTGTGTTCAAATGTGCCCGCTGAGTCGGAGGGCACTATGTTGGCACTGTTGGGCCCGATTGCGGAACTGTTCAGGGTTGACCGCAGAGCGACCCTGGAAGAAAGTATGTTTGCTGACCAGGATCAAAAGGAGGAAAGTGATGATGAGAAGTGGATCCCGGTGCCGGGAACCCTTCCATCACCCCAGTCCACTCCCTTAGACCCAGGCAAGGTGTCTGTCTCCATCCGCTGGCATGCAGAGACTATGGACCCTGTCATTCTTGACCCATTCTCGCTGCTTGGCATTATGGATCACGAGAGCAGTGAGAACTTGCCCATAACAATTTCAGAACCTACAGTCAGAGCTCTTCCACCACCAGAGCCGCTAGTCGTATCAAGTACTGTTGTCGCCACATTGGCGCCACCGGAAGAACCCGCCGAGGATGAGGCCCCAGTTGGGGAGACACTGGAGAGTCAGAAGGCACCAGCGCTTATCCTTGAGGGGTTCACCTTCCCATCAGAGCCAGCAGACTATCCCTCAGTCAATGCTTTCGCAGTTATTGACATGGCAAAGGTGAGTATCATAGAACCAAGATTCGTGCGTACGGACTCGGGAGGTATTGCTTCGGTGGGCAGTGCAGAAGCTGTCTCAGCTGAGAAGGATGTCCACATCAAACGCGAAGGAGGCCCTTCATCCCCTGTAGCACAGGCTGACTTGACAGAAACTGGTTTGCAATTTCGTGAGGAAGGAACCAGAGACAGCACACCTGATGTGTTGGATGGGTTTGAGGTGGTACCTGAAGCTGGCGAGATTCCAAGGGAAGATGCTCAAAAGCTGAAGGGACATCTTCCATTGAAACCTGTGGAGGAGATCGGTGATTTAAGCGATGAGGGTGACGAAGTGGAAATGGTGGGATCTGCGTCCTTGCCTGCCCTTGATGCAGATGTTGTGGAAGTGCATGTTGATGACGAGAAGTTGAGATCAGCTCATCCTGTTGTCATAGCTAAGCCAGCTCAAGAGATTCCAGTTCATCCTTTGGGAAAAGAGTTCGAAGCGGAGGGGAGAGAGGAACCTGCAACACAGCCATCCGATTGTGATGACCGCACTGCCGTGTTGTGCCCTGCGGTGGAACCAAATTTCGAGCCTCATCTTAAGAGGATGTGCAGCTTGGAAATGACGCCCAATCCAGCTTTCCATCCTGCAGAGGCTTCTGTTCTTTGGCATGTTTGGCAAGGAAGAGAGGAGGGGAGTGAGAGCAGAACATTTCCCAAGACAGCAGTTGAAGCCTCTCCGGAGGCATCAGCCATGGCGGCAAAGACGGTCCAGCATGTTCCATATGATGACTCTTATGTTCCAATAAGAAGGGCAACAGTGGAAATACATGTTGGAGATCGTGTTCGTGCATCGGAGGGGCTTAGCGAGCTGGTCAATGAACCTCTTGTAGAGCTGGTGGAAAGTAGTGAGAGGGCTTCTGAACCGCTGTTTGAGGTTTGTTTGCCCCATCAAAAGGAGGCTACTGTAGTGGACACTGTTCCTCGCCCTGCAGCTCATCCGGCAGCTGAGTCTGCAACTCAGCCAGCACCAGATGTGTGGGTTGCTCCTGACACTGAGGGTGAGGCACCGGCGATGGTGATTGGTCCGGTTACAACAATCCTGATGGAGGAGAGAGAGGAGCTTGAGCTCGGTTACGCAAATGGCATCCCAGCAGAGTCAGAAATTGGTGAAGTTGTCCGGAAAGTGGATGCTGAAGTGGTGGACTTTGCCTTATCTCTGGGTCTGGACGAAGAGGGCTGTGAACAATTGCTGAGCAGTGTTCCTTGGTTTGCAGCAGAGGCATTGTTTCCTTCGAAAGGGGTGGAAAGCCATGGATTCATTGCAGATCCTTCTTATGAGCCAGTCCCTGTGCCTGACCACGAGGGTGACGTGGAAATGCTTCCGGCTCAGTCGTTATCAAATGTCGACCTCGAGCTCCTCTACTCTGAGCATACAAAAGCATCAGACATCAGGCAGGGGATGCTGGAAGATTCCTGGTTTTTATCTGCAGTCGCGATTCTTGCTGATTATCCCGGCCTGATAGAGAGGGTCTTCACTCATCGGGAACTGCTGGCTAGTGGGGTTTGCAGATTGCGCTTTTTCAAGAGTGGGAGGTACACAATAATACATCGAACTCCTGTGCATCACCTCAAGTATTACACATGCATGTGCTTTGAGCATCAGCTACTTCTTTACAAGTTCATTGGACTTCATACTAATACTGTGAGATTTGTTGCCCAGAACGATATGTTCTCACACATGCGGTGGATCTTTGTTGCCTCCAAATGAAGAATTAATTCAATTTAATCGCCAAAAAAAGAAAAAGAAGAAGGGGGTGCCCAACCAAGTTACTTTTTCTGTCCAACTGGGACCATGCAGATGGACATGCCTTGCTCAGGCCAGCCCCTGTACAGCTTCTCAGTATCTGGATGAGTGACAAAAGGTGCATGGGGGCATCTGCTTAGTCTAGGCTGAATATGGATGGGATGTGGGTAATGCAGGGAGCCCGAATCTGGATGGAGTTGTGTGGACTATTGTGTTGGCAGGGTTGGCTGTGGGGAAAGCAGGGGAAGGTTGGGCTTTGGAGGGGAGGGGAAGGGTGGGGGGGGGCCTTCTTGGGGGTTGAAAGAGGCTTGGAGGCTGTTGATTGAAATCCCGTTTTGAAATAAAGAATCATAGAAATGCAAGAACTCTTCTCTTTCCATCCGTACTCCATGACCAACACCTACACCGGTGAAATTTCCCTGTAGTAATCCGAAAGGATCCCTGAACCTCCTCTCCGGCCATTGAAAAATGTTTGGTCGATTTTGAATGTGTGGGGCCTTGTAATCCCAGCATCAAAGGTGGACTCGCTGAACCTCCGATGAAACCAGATCCTATCACCAATCAGCTTGGTGATGCATGCCCGGAGTGAATGTCGTCAATGCAAGTCAAAAGGATCACCAACGTGAGGAAAATATATAATGTGACACAGCGGAAGACTCAAATCAGATACAGAAGTCTAACGATGCAGCAAATGACAATGTGGCTCAGATCTGATCTCACATCAAGTGGGGAGGGATCCAGACATAGAAGAAGCTCCCCGCTGAAATCATGCATGGACCAAGGTGGAGAAAGAAGAGGAGGAAGAAGAAGACGGCGACGAAGAAGATAACCCAATGTATGGCAGCGCCTAATAACAATAGTCTCTTCTCCACCTCTCGCTCTGCCTCAATCTCCAACAACCTCCGATGATGAACTCAGATCTCGAATCTGGGAGCTGAGCTCCAGTTACCTCAATTTCCAGTCTCCAATCTCTCTCTTTCTCTCTCTCTCTCTTCTCTCGCTCAAGAGGAGGAAGAAGAAGAGATGGCGGATCAGAAGAGAAACGTGAAAACCTCTCTGTCTCTGTCTCTGTCTCTGTCTCTGTCTCTGTCTCTGTCTCTCTCTGTCTCTCTCTCTTTCTCTCTCTCTCTCTCTCTCTCTCTCTCTCTCTCTCTCTCTCTCTCTCTCTCTCTCTCTCTCTCTCT